ATGGCACAGGCCATGCATAAGTTGCTGCGACACGTCTCTTCCACTGTAAATGGCCAGATGCCCCACGCGGAGACCGTACTATCGGCGCTCCTGTCTACACTGTCCGAGCTCTTGCTCACTATCCTTGGGCACCCTGCTCCGCCAGTCGCAAGTTTCAGCAATACCACCGGTTCACCTCGAGTACGTAGTATCACTTGAGAATTAGAAAGAGTCTTCCTAAGATCTCTCGTGCACTATGCAGCCGTGTACTCCTGTTGCTAGCATACCCCATTCGAGCTCCGAGCCTTCCTCCCACACCGCCTTAGGTGGGCCCGACGCTTGGGGCAGCTTTGCTTCCCGAGCTGACTTAACTAATCTCTACGATCCACCCCCTCTTTCATCACATCAGATCAAGCACCGGGGGCGCATTGATAAATTGAAGAAGAAGAAGGGAACGAGGGAGCCAGCAAATCAGGCTAAAGCGTGACTAGGGCTCCTGTCATGCTTCGAGATCTCGTACGAAGAGCTGACGTAGCACTTTGGACACCAGTCAGATATTATTGTCACCATGCAATAAAATATGCGCATTTTACGTGGTGCGTCATGAGCAGATCACTCGTCTCCACCTCTGCAAGCATCGACTCTCGGACCGCATTCGCCTCCTGGCAGTCACGGCGGAGCATCCATGGCAAGGAAAATGCACGTTTTCGAGAGGTAACACTAAAGCATCGTCTCATCGGCGTGGTGCAGTTGTTCACCGAGGACGGTAAACGACGGCAGTCTCGATAAACCGCGGTACTCAGGGTAGCCCCACTCCCCACGCCCTATCGACGCGCTCGCTCTACAGCCGTCCCGCGCACAACCCGCAGAGCGAGGGGTTGACAGACGATTAACGTTATGCGCTGCATAATTAGTGCTCTGCAGCTGTACAGAGCAAGAGGGCTTCTTGACGTAGTGAAGCAGTGAGATCTCGTCTCAGGTACATGTCAGGTGTTGCCGCAAGGCGCATCGCGAGCCGTGGACCCGGCTCTGCGCGCATAATCTCGATGGGACATAGCGCGGTCGCGCGCGAGGAAGTAAAGTACAATGCATGCGCATCCAGGAGCGCGCAGGGTCTGGAAGGTTATTGGCGTCGCGGCAGGCAGCGACTCCAGTCCGACATGCGTCCATATGGCTTATATCATATATGGATGCTGGGAAGTCTGGTTAATTAAATATCAGAGCAGAAGGAGCCCAACGCTACGCATAAGCTACGCACCCTTGTGCGTCTTGCATTGACGTCGGATGGAGATGTCGTATGATCGGACGGTGAAGTCTAAAAAGACATGCGAACGCTGGTGACGATAGTATTGAGCGGCGCGCTCGCTGATTCGGAGGCGTTTGACAATCGCCAAAGTATGTGCTCGGTCTGTGGCCGAAGAGGTCTGCAACTCAGTGTGCTGGAAGATTCACCAGGCCTGGCCCAGACCAGTAGGTTCGGACGGGATATACAGTATGATCGCGGGAGTCCCAGTCTTCTTGAGGCGCGTGGCTAAGGACGAGAAAGCTTTCTGTATATCCGAGGTAGCATGAACTCTAGGAAGGGCGTCTGCAGGGTCTGGAGTCCGCTTCCGAGTCGAGCCGGACGGAGCACTGAAGCGACCAAGGGCAGCCCGAGGCATGACCCGAGCTTTGCGGGGGAAAGTGAGTCAGAAGTCGTATCTGAGTTACATGTTCGACCGAATATCTCCTAGGTTTCGGCAACGGGTCAAGCGGGAACTTGGGCTGTGTGTGTAACGTACGAAGGCGGTTGGCGGGGGCAGCGCTCATCACAGCGCAGAGGTGGGCGGCACGACACGTGAACGCGATTCTTCCCACGCCTACCGCGGAAGTTTACAAACGCGATTGCGACATTGCTCAGATCTCTGACTTGCCCTTTGCCGCTTCTACAGTCTAACAGCTTTACTTGTGAAGACTTGGCTCTGTATAGTTCAGAAAGGGACTAGTGCTGGTTTCCTGGTTCCCGCAGATCGTAACCGCTGACCGACCAGTCAACGACACAAGTGGCAGCACCGCCCGACCTATACCCACGTCGCGAATCACTGCCATCAGCAGCTGTGCATGTCCATCTGGAGTTTCCTTTTGTTTTACTCCACTTCGTCAAGACTTGGCTTTGCTATGCTGCCGTTGTCCCGCGAGCTTTGCAAGCCTGAGATGCGACCCGCAGCTTGTCTCTCCCTGGAAGCCAGGCTTCCTATGTCCGAGAGGCCTGGGTCCGCACGAGCCTCTTGTGCTCTTTCAATGCGATAAATCTAGCACAAACGCTGCACTGTACGGTGAGTCCGTACATCATCGCCCGTTTGATCGAGGGTCTCTGGGAATGAACTCGCCTCGAAGAGGCTGGAGTGCCGCCCGCGCATGACACACGCGATAGCACGTTCCCATGGGTGACTTCACGTCCATTTCACAGTATCTCCGCCCGCCGGACAGTCTGTGAGACACGCACAGCGCCTCGTTGCTAGCCGGCCGCTGCGTCTTCTTCCGAGAGCTACCATCTTTGGTCGACGCGAGTCGACCAGATGTCGGCAAAGCCGCCATCCTCCCTTCCCTAGTGCGGCACCGCACGGGCCATGTTAATTGCATAATGCCACCCGCACAGCACTAGGATCCCCATCATCGGTGTCGTTTCTTTGCTTTAAAGGTTCGCCATGCCTCTCGCTGGAACACGTTCTCCATTCCACGTCCCCGCTGCCGCCTCCCTTACCTCCCATGGCCCCCGTTCAGCCCTTAGACCTCGAGCCGGGCCACCGAATCTCGATCTACTCGGTGACATCAACTACAATGTCTGCGCACACATATCCTGAGAAGCACTCATTGACGAAAGAAGTCGAGAAGGGCCAAGCTGATGAAGAGTATCCTGACGGTGGATGGCGGGCATGGTTGACTGTTCTCGGAGCCTTCTTCGCGCTGTTCTGCACGTTCGGCCAACTGAGCTCCTTCGGAACGTTCCAGTCGTGGTATTCGGAACATCAGCTACAAGACCTATCACCATCGACAATATCATGGATTGGTTCCCTCCAACTCTGGGTGTTCTTCTTCTCGGTACGCGGGACCCACATAGCCTATTTCATAATGTTCATGTTCAATCTCAGGGCGGCTTCGTTGGACGCTTCTTCGACGTATATGGGCCTAGAGTGATCATGATACCAGGAACCCTGGTACTGGTCGTCAGCATCATGATTACCAGCGTATGCCAGAGATATTATGAGTATATCTTGGCACAAGGCATCCTATTTGGCCTCGGCGTCGGCATGTTGTACGTCCATCGTCCATGCACTCCTTCCACCTCTAACACAGGCCATAGATTCTACCCTTCGCTCTCAGCTGTGTCAACACATTTCAAAAAGTATCGTGCTACCGCCTTGGGCATCGCGCTCTCTGGCTCAGGCGTGGGTGGGTTCCCCACCATTCCTGCAGCTTGACAGTGTATCTGACTGCTTGCTCAGGCGGGGTCGTGTACCCTACTATACTGCAACGACTGTTCATCATCTGCGGCTATGGCTGGGGTGTTCGCATCGCGGGCTTCATCTGTTTGTTACTCTGCGCGATCGCATGCTGTACCGTCTCCAGCCGCCTCGAGCGGAACAAGACGTCGAGTCCGTGGTTTGACACCAAGCATCTGCGCGATACCAGATTCGTGCTGCTCGTCATCGGCAGCATGTTCGTCTCCCTCGGTATGTACCCTCTGTCACACCGCCGACGCTACTACCATCTGACGGCTGTCTCCAGGACTCTTCATCCCGAACTTCTACATCGTCTCCTACGCCGTCGACCACGGCGTGTCGACCAACACGGCCTTCTACGTCCTCGCCGTCCTCAACGGGGGCGGCATTCTGGGGCGTATCGTGCCCGCGTGGCTCTCGGACGCGCTCGGGCGCTTCAACGTGCTCGTGCCTGCCGCGGCGTGCGCGGGGCTCGTGACGCTCGTCGGCTGGCCGTTCGCCGGGCACGGGCTCGGCGGCATCATGGGCTACGCGGCGGCGTACGGCTTCTTCAGCGGCGCGTTCAACGCGCTCATCGTGCCCTGCATCGCGCAGATATCAGACATCAAGCAGATCGGCACGCGCATCGGCATGCTGTACAGCATCCTCTCCTTCCCGTGAGTCCTTCGTCGCGCCCTCTCTCCGCACACGCCGGAGCTGACCAAGACATGTCTCTTTGCTCCTTCTGATCTAGGGCGCTCGCGGGTGGGCCTGCTGCAGGGGCGCTGCTCAAAGCTGCGCACGGCTCGTACATCGGCATGATCATCTTCAGCGGGGCTACTATCCTCTTTGGGTCTTTCTTTTATCTTTGGGTGCGCCTGCGTATTGATTCGCGACCCTTGGCGCGGGTATAGAGGCGCAGTTGTGGACTGCCACGAACCCTTATGATCGTTGTACTATTAACTTATCACCCACCTTGTAGCATACTTACTTTATCCCTCCACGACTGACACGTCTCGCCACGAACTATTCACATTTCCACGTAGAACACTATTGTACTCACCTCTTGGGGCCTTCAGCGATGGGCAGCGGCATGGCGCACAATGTAAACGCATTTAAATGTCGATGATGTATGCATAACGAGTTGGTTTCGAAAGACATTGCTACGAGTGAGTCGGAATGGAGGTAACGTGATTTGTGGTGCTGAAGGCGGAGACAAGACGTGAACTAAACAGGAGATAGCGTTCTAGAGACTGTACAAAAGATGGTGATATTCCGGTTCCACGTTAAAAGGTTTCCTCTTCGTCGACAGTCGGCTCCGGTACCTCAAAGCCATCCTGTGCACAGCGGTCGGCCTAAGAACAATCGACGACAGGGCTAGGACACACCTCAGTCGAGTACAGAATCTTCTGAATATCGCGCAGAGTCGGGTCTTCCTTGCCCTCGGCCTCGACAACCTCGAGCTGCTGCTGCACCAAGATCTCGATATCGCGAAGCTGAGATGGACAAGAACGTGAGCGATCACGTGACGAGGCAACGGCGATGAAAAAGAAAGGCAGACTGCGAACACCTGCGGGAGGAAAGCGCAGAGACGCGAGACGTGATGTTTGAAACGAACAGAGCGACGCACCTTGGCGAAGTAGAAGTCACGCTCCTTCTCGAGCCCCTCCAGGTGCTGCGACATCTCCGCGAGCTGCGTGCGGAGCTGCTGGACCACCTCGTTCGGTTGTGTCGACGTGGAACGGGGCCCGCCGATGGGTGTTCGGCCGCCTGCACGACCACCGCCGACGCCGAGGCCCGCCGAGCGGGCGGCAGGCGCGAGAGGCGCGATCGTTGCGGGAGTGTCGGTAGACGCGCCTTTGCGGCGCGCGACAGGGTCGTAACCCTGTCCACCGTAGTTCGAATCCCAGAAGCGTTTAATCCACTGCACGAACTCGAGGTTGTCCCTGCGGAATGACACGACGAGAGGTCAGAATGGCACGTGCTGGCCAGCGACGGCGGACATACTGCATCTTGCACTTGACAAGCTTCTCGACGGGAATGGGCTGCGCATAGGCGTGAGCAAACGTTCTTAAAATCTTGCTGCAGCTACCGTACCTTCTCAATCTTGTGCGCACGGAAGACATTCTGGAGGATCTTAAAGTTTCCGATGAACTCGTACTCGTGTTTGGCGTTCATCTTCACCCGCGCCATTGGGACATCGCCTGAAGGTAGCAGATCCTACATGTTAATACATACTTGATACATCGCAGTGAGGCAGATGGAGGGTATTGACCGAAAATCGAGTCTATGATCTGGCAGTAGGCACCTCCCGTTCCACACTGCTCTACCTTCGTGTAGTTCACCTGGAGGAGGTCGTTCAACCATGCAATGAGCTCCGTTCGTGATTCGCCCATGGTATCTTCCTGGCCTCGAGGAGTGTTGAGGAGTGCTGTCCGGACAGTGACGAATCAGAAGATGGTGGGTGGTGGCAAGCGTCGACCTGGGCTTGCCGCCCAAAAACTCTCTTTCCTCGACCACCACCACCTCCGACAAATACTGCCATAATTGCTGTCCCTTTGCGTTGCGCTCGGGCTGCGGCGAGCCACATAATAGTGGAGGGTGAGACATATTTTTGTTGAGAGCTCGTTTGGTGGTGTTTCGAGCATTAGTGCGTGCCCTACCCATGCTTTCGCGACACCGCCATACTTATAAGCAGCTCCGCTTCAAATGCAGAATAGTATGCTACCGGTGGAGATCCTTGACAGGATCGTCCAGTTTTCCTATCAGCAAGAACTCCTGGTGCTCAGCCGCACGTCCAGACAGCTTCAGCCGCTCGCTGAAACCAGGATCTATGAGGCCGTCTTGCTTCGCGACAACAATGCTGCATTCCGCGCATGCCAAGCTCTTGCTGCAAGAGACTTTGTCCGTTGCTCATACGTGAAGCGTTTCTACTTCTGGCAAGACCAACGCTTCTGTCAACGCGGACCTATGCCTGAGCCTTTCTGGCGGCTCATCCAGACTGTGCTCACGAAGACAGTGAACCTAGAAAACTTGTACATGTATGACGACTCCTTCTCAAACACGTGGATCTTCCAAGCCCAACTGCCTTTTCAGCTGACTGAAGCTTGGTTGAACTTCCGCTGGGACGACAAGCTCGTAACCTTTCTGGAACGGCAGGATCGTCTAAAGGTCCTATACTTAACTTCGGGGCCATATGACGAAGAGGTTTCTCATCGTGCGCCGCAGTCTGGTAGCCTTCCTGCGCTCGAGACTGTGGAGGCACCCATGCATGTCACGTTCGACCTCCTGGCGTGCAGCACCCTACGCCTGTCCTTCATGATCGACGACGACAACGCGCTGCTCTTCTCCAACTTCCTTGAAGCGATGGCGAGCACAAACAAGACACTCCGCAGCCTGCACGTCATCGCCGTGCCCGAATTCCTCGCGACGGACACCCTGCGTATTCTCGGCTCGTCGACCCTGGCAACGACGCTGCGTCACCTCGGCGTGCTGTCGCTGCCCCTAGGAGAAGTGCGTGCTCCTTGCCCCGCATGACGGCATCTTCATTGACTTTTAGCATGACACACAGCGCCACCAGCTACACCGATCATTGCTGAGCTTCTCGAGGCTCGAGACTCTGCAGGTGGATGTCGCGCACTGGCAGAATGGCGCAATGATGCCGCACGCCCACCGTCTGCTGGCGACGGAACTCCGAACGTATTGTCCCACCCTTGTGCGGATAGTCTTCTGGCAAGGCGTGAGCGAGACGGTCTGGCGCTTCGACGAAGACAACGGACAATGGAAGGGCCAGCAGGTGCCCGGTCCACGCTACGCGCAGCGGGAACATCTGTGGCGTGATGTCTGAGACCTATGCTGCTACATCATACCAATGGACAAGATAGGCCTGTCACTTGTGCGTCCTGCGTCGGCTTCGTGCTTCCGCGCCCCGCATATCGCTGATGTGCATGCATCGCAATAGGCATTACTTGCCTTTCCAGGTGGGAAACAGGAATTAGAGTCAGAACCTTCGCCATAGATCCGACAGGGACAAAGGGTCGGGGAACGTGTAGATGAGTCAATGCCAATCGATCTTTGCGTTCGCTGTTCTGTCGGCGATTATGAGATTATCTCTTCCTTGGGACGTGTTGCCAGCGGCTACGCTCTCCTTGTCTCTTGCTCCCATGCTTTGGCCGGTAGCATCTTCGACCACAATCTCTCGTTTTTGGCTCAAGCTTCTCTCCATCAGGCACGTTACCGCGGCCGGCTTGGCTGCCGTGCCATAATTCCCGCATGGACGGTCGTGCTGTGACTCCGCGGGACCGGCAACCGCCGTGTGTTCCCTCAGCTCTATCTGTATCCGGGTACAGAGGCGTCCAGACATGCCGCTACTCCCGGGGCACGCGGTGCGCGGACTGAACCTCAACCGAGTCCCAGTGTACCTTTAATAACTGGGCTAATGAAAATGGCGCTGCCGTGGCGCCTTCCGCACGGACAATCCGCTTTATGCTTTAGCTGCCCACATCGTGTTCGCACAGTCCATCACCCACCATTGTCCTTCCCTACCTTCGCGCACCTATATTTCCCTCCTGCTGCAAGCCAAGATGCCGCACAACACCATCTTCTCCCACTCCAGCTCAAGCGCCTCCATACACTCGAACATGTCCTCATCCTCGTCCTCCTCTGTCGCATCCTCCTCGTCTATCGCGGCACTGCCGAGCTTTACGCACTCACTCTCTGCGTTCCCGACGATGACCGCCGTCTCAAGTGACATGGTCCACTACGGCACGCTCGGACGCACGAAGCAGGCAAGCGAGGCCAAGGTACGTGCACTCGCACCTGACCGCATGGGGTCCAAACACTGACGACGCCACTCGGTGGTGCGCAGCTGAACGTTGCGCTGCAGGCAACACGCCAGAAGGTGCCGGGCTTGCCACAGTCGCCTCTCGTACGTTGCTCCTCTCTTCTTCCGTGCTGCGCGTCCGCGGACGAGCGCTGACACCTCGGCCCCCGCAGTCGCCGCCGACGTCGCCACTCGGCTACCCCCTCGAGCTGCTGGACGAAGAACAAGCGCTCGTTATCCCACGACGCAAGTCCAAGAGCTCTCCCGTGCGTGTCCCTGTCACCTTCTTCGGAGATAAGCTGACGCGCGACCGGTCTTAGAGCAAGAACGGACTCTGACCATCCGAACCTCCACACATTCGAGATTCTGCCGCATCGGAAGCATTGGCCGACAGCACATTAAACTTATTCTTCATTTCAACTTATATTTTTCCCTTCCTTCTCTGGGGCCAAGACGGGTTAGAACAGCGTTCATGAACGACCACGACCACGATTCGTATATCCATAGTTGTACCACTAGCATTTCTCCATCGCACCCCTTCCTACGCGTTTCATCCTTCGCTCACGGTGTATAACATTCCAGACGGAACAAAGTCGGGCAGTCACGGCATCGCTCCTGGTATCATAGTCATCTTTATACTGCTTAATGAATATCTGGTATACTACAACTGTGCGGGAGAAGTGTTCGAAAACGCGAAGCAGAGAGCAGACACAGAAAAAGAACCCCAGATATAAGAGTAAACACTTAGCTGCTAAGAGAGTTCGAACAGGAGGAAAACCCGAGTAGAGGCCCAGGCTCGAGAGATAAGCAAGACAGCATCGGAGTACAGCCACATTATTCGCCAGCGAATAAGCGCACAACCATGTACGTCGTTGAACCGAGAAAACGGATGACTGACGGAGGAGGTTAGCTTAAATAAATAGCGATAAATTTGGCTAAAAATACGCACAAGCGAGTCCAGCGACCGAGAACAGGATGAATGCCATGTAGCCATTGACGGTGCTCTCCGCCCCTTTGCTGCTTGCCTTGCCTGTCGCGGTGCTGTATCGGCACAGCCACAGCATGCAGTGTCAGCAGAAACCCGTATACGCAATAGAGTTCGGCGAAGCACGTACACAATGATGGCCGCCAGCAAGGCCTAGGAAAGCGCGAGATTAGCACGGCCGTGTCAATACATCGAGAATCACGAGGTACACTCACGTTTGACAGAGTCCAGGCGAGCAGAACCTAAAAGCATAGCCTGCAGTTAGCATCCGCAGAAATCTGTCCCATGAGGCCTGAGACACATACGCTAAAGGAGCAGGCCCGGCATAAGACTCCGTGAATCGTGAGATTACGAAACATGGCTTACTTTGTCCGGAAACTGCGGTAGTAGTCCTCTTGTTGTGTCCCTGGGTCCGGTTTTGAGTCCGACTTCGGGGGCGTGGTCGACAGTACCGCGATGGCATCTTCATATGCGGCATTGATATCTGTCTGCGCGGTGGGGACGTCCGCTTCGACTTCATTCGTGTTCTTTCCAGTGCTCACGACACCAAGATCTGTCTGAACCTTGTTATCGCCCTTCGTACCCCACGAAACATCGCTAGATAATCAATGAAGATAGCTGTGCATGTGCCGACTGTTAGAATATACTCACTGCACGTTAGAGAACTGCACAAGGAATGTTAGTTGCGAGAGATGGACAACCACGAGGATAGCGTACCGCATAAACGTTGAGAACATTGATGTATGAAGGCGCTAGCAGCAGGTACTGAATGAAGGAAGTAATCATATGCCATGGCTCGAACTGTCGAGAAGCCGCAGAAAGTTTAGCATTCTTGCCCAAAGCGGGGTGAGATAGAGAAACTCACGAAGATGAGGGAAGCCAGGAAGTACAAGCCGAGCGTGGCAAGCAGCGAGATAACGATGTTACGGAAGATGGGATTCGTGAAGAGATCCGAGAATGTGAGCGGCCCGTCTGACTTTGCAAGATTTTCAACGCCCTTGAATGCAAGGAAGAAGGCAGCAATCTAAGACAGCGGGCGGATCAGTAATTTCACACCGACGATAAGAATTCTGTCCACTTACGGTCATGTAGACGGTGATCACGGCAAAGCCGACGAAAGCCATAGTGTAGAACCACTTCGCTCCTTGCGGCCGATTACCCAACGACAGCAAGAAACACATGACCAGCAGGCCCACATACAGGTACTCGAGGATAACGTTCAAGATGTGGATGGTGTTGCCGAGATTGAAAGACGGGTCTTCCATAGCCTCACTAAGAATGGTGAACGAAATGTAGTAGTTCCCCTAGACGAGCCATGGTTAGATACAGAGCTATTGCACGTATAAGACTTAGAACGCACAAGAGCAAACCAGGAGAAAATCAAGTTGAAAAGCTGATACAACATCTCCACATGAATCCAGAACTTCCGGAACAGGCTGTGCGATGACCGGTAGATGTAGTGGAAGTGGACGGTACTATGAATTGCGGCGAAAAAAGAGCCGTTCAACCAGCGACGACGCTGTGAGATTAACTCCGGGACCTGCAGGCATATCAGCTTTGGTAGCAAACTGGTGTGGGAGCAGATCACTGGCTGACCTGGTCAGGAACATCCGTCACGGCGTAAGCGGACTTGACATAGTGCAGAATCCATGAGCCACCTCGTTTCGAGACAAGCTCCCAGCAAAGAATCTGGAGAAACAGGAGCTGTTAGGGATAGTCACGTCGGAGGCGGTTCCAACATACTCGATCCTCAGCCAGATACATGTTGGCCGTGAAGATGTCTGCACCAGCACCGTGCTGGAGAAAATGAGATCAGACATGACATGATCCACGATAACTCCGAGACGAACCATCTTCTCGCCCAAGAAGTACTTTTGAAGGGGACCTTCTCCGGTGACATCGTTTTGAAGCGCGATGTATCGGTAGGCACTAAAGGCACCAGGAAGCACAGAAATGTACCCGAAGACAGACTCTAGGGGCTTATCCAAGATGTTCGACATCTTGTACTCGAAGTTTTGCGCCGCAACTGGTCACATTGCTCGTCAGGCTCATTGTACCCGAGCAATCGAACGGACGACGTACCGAGGGGGTTGATCAAGTTCTGTCCGTACTTGCCCTTGAGTGCGACGATTTCTCCGCAGGCACCACCAACATTTGAGTTGATGTCAAACGCCTTCCACAGGTGGTAAATCGAAGTCGGGCCGGGCATGGTACCCACGTCGAGGAGCACACAGACGTTGGGCTCCAAGATCGGTCCGAAAGCGTTGAAGAACCAACGGTGCGAGTTAATCTTCTTCTGGTTCTTCTCCTTCAGGCAGAAGATGACTTGTACGGGGACGAACCCCTTCTCTGCACCTTCGATCTTCATCGAGGGGGAGACGGAAACTGCGCGCACGTCAAAGATAGGCCGAGAGTAAGCCGCAGAGCACTCACTCTGCGTAGTGTACTCGTAAATGTGGGCTGTGACAGGTTTCCCGTTCACGACGTTCTTAGCACATAACCGTTAGGGTTGGCATAGCAGAAGCAACGAGTTGACGCACCTTTGCGATACCGTCCTGGTAAGCACCCGAGGTAGCAATGACACTCAATGTCCGCGAGTTGATTTTCTGACGTCCATCAGACACGATGCAAACGACAACCTTCTTCCACCCCTCTTTGCCCCATGTCTTGCTGCGATCACGCTTGCACAGGTGGGCAACGTTCTTCATGACGCCGTGCATAGTCCGGCAGAAAAGCTCCTCATCCTCGTTGTACATGGTCATGACTATGAAGAGCTCCGTCTTCCTAGGCGGGTCGTAGTGCACCTGACGGAGGGTGAAGCCGCTGTTCTTGAAGTCGTTCGGGTCGCATGTAGCAGCAGAGTAGCGCATATGTGTAAATTCGCGCTCGGTCTTCTGTGCGCTCATCTGGAGCAGCTTGCTTGGCACAGGGGAATCGAGAACGAAGTTGCCGTGGAAGAGCTCGACCTTCTTGATCGTCTTGTATCGGCGGGGCACGCGTTGTGGGATGCGTCCGTAACGGATGTTGCTCTCCGATCTGTCGTCTGGAGCGACAGGCTCATATTCTCCCGGAGTTGACATGGGCGGACCGTCGCGACGTAATAGGGGCATGTCGCCAGTGTCTACGTCGAATTCCTCCTGCTGGTCTCCGAAGTCATGTGGTGCGCCGGGGTTCAAGGTGTACGCTGAGGCCATGGGCAATATACCTGATTGAACTGGAGGAGGTGACGTCGCGTGCAGGTGGCTCTGGTAGGGGTCTGCGTAACCTGGACCTGCTTGGGTTGGTGAATGGTACACATCCGCTGGCGGCTGTCCCGGAACAGCAAACGGATCTGCGTGGATGGGCTGAAATGGCTGATGTTCGTGCTCGTAAGGGTTTGGGGAGGACAAGTGGTGCTGCTCGAAAGGGTTTGGTGAAGACGAAAGATGCTGGTCATAGGGATTCGCAGCCAACGATGGGTGCTGACCGTACCCGTCGTCTTGATACGTATGCCTGTCGTCGTACTGTACCAATCGTTAGGAAATCTCCAGAGGAAGGCATCCGGCACGTACAGGAGGATACTGTGACATCGTCGTTATACTCGTAAGCGCAGTATGAAGGGTATAAGAACAGCTTGTCAGAGGCTGTGAAGTACTGTGCGTTTGCCCTGAGTTCAGTGCTCGCTTTGCCCAGCCTCCTCGTCACTGAGCCAAAGTCTTGTTTAAGAATCTCAACTGTTATCAAAATGCGTCCTACAAGCCCAGAGGTGAGAGGTGAGACGCGAGGAGAAGGTAGTGCAGAGGAAGATGGTCTCGTCAGGACTCACTTCCGGGTTTAGTTCAAAGCAGGGGGAAATGATGGACCTTTGCACGCACAGTACACCTAATATAGAATTCGCGCAAAACATGACGCAGCTAGAGCCATTTTCCCCTAATATTTCCCGCTTGAGGCACTCATTTCCAGAAAATACTCTTGACTCTCAACCACTACCATGACTACGGCAGGCAGGCACAATCTACTTCGAACGGCTACGATAGCCCTGTATAACATTTTCATTTTTTACAGATCTAAAGACGCTAAGGATCCGAAGTGTACAGCCTGAAGATACTGTACCTCTCAGGCACGCAGTGCTATGGCCAGATAAACCTGTATCCTACGTCCTGCTGCCTGAGGACAGTGCTGGTTATCATCTGGGCGCATTTCTGGACGAAGCAGAGCCTGCCACAGCAGTGATCTCTCTCTTCATTGAGTCTTTACCTCTGTCAGAACCCATTCTCGGCCCGCGCACGGCACCCCGCACAGCACGTTTCCGCAAGTTCGCCTGCCATCCTTCGCATCAAGGTCGTGGCATCGGAACTGCGCTACTTGTCAGCACATATCAAGCTGCGCGAGATCTGGGCTGCGCCGTGATATGGTGCGACGCGAGGCTGGAGACGGCCCCCTGGTACGAGAAGCAGGGAATGCAGCGCTTTGGAGACACTTTCTTTAAAGGCCCCATTGAGTATATTAGGATGAAAGCTGAGTTGTGAAGACGTCCTTAGAATGTAGACTAACTAATCAATGGATAGAGCCTTATGGATAGATTGCATGGTGTTCGATTTTAATCCCCAGCTTATCGAATAAAGCATGGCTGTGCCTAAGGCGCAGTATGCTTCTCGTGTGCGGTCCGTGTTGGTCGCCGCATGCTATGGACGAGCGCGTAATAAGTGTGCTGCTGCTGACATCGTGAATGCAAGATTCACGAACGCCACAGCAGCGTTTACAGCAACATTTACGGCACAAGGCCGCCCAACCTTATTGGTTCTCATGCTCAGATTTGTCGCTGGCCGAGAGCTTTTGGGGAGGAACATAGGGCTGGTGGACGTGAATGTGGTGCCGGCTATCAGCGTGTTGGGAACAAGT